ATATATACACATATGTACACAAACACACATATGTGCATATATACACGTCCATCTCTACTGGTGCCTATAACCTGAACCCACTCACTAATAAGCTCAGACACACACACACACACACACACACACACACACCAATTTGCTATCCTATATATACACCTGTGTACATTCACACACTGAGAACATCTTCTACCCATAGATACATGTACACATTCACATATAGTCTTTACACTTGAGCACATGTACACACAAGCAATGACACTCTTCAGAGTACACAGATACAAGCAGTACCCTATCCCATGCATACATGCACCTGCATATGCACATGCACAGGCACACACATGCAGGCACAAATGCCACACGTCTCACCTTTCTCTCCCCTGAGTGTCATCTCCCTCAGCCTTTCTCAGCCATCACTGATGTGCTTCTCATCCCCACATGTCGATTAGAATGCTGTACCTTTGTTGTTTCTTTTCCAGTGAGGCTGTTTTCAAAGCTTTCCCAGTGATCCATAAATAGCGAATAATTCCATTAGTAATGTGATGGATAGTGTAACTTTTGTGCAGAGTTTGTCAGGTTCAGTGTTTCATCCATTTAAGCTCATGACAGCATCAAGCCATGGCAAGTAGGGAACCCAGTGGGCTGATGCTGTAAAATCTTTGCCATGTTACCCAAAATGGTGTCCTTAGGTTCTCAGAGATTATGCACAAGGGCTTTTAAAAGATTTATTTTTCATTACTTTTATGTGTGGTGTGTGTTGGGGGGGGTCACATGAGTACTCTGCCCATAAAGGTCAGAAGAGGGTGTCAAATTCCCTGAAGCTGGAGTTACAGGTTGTTGCAAAACACCTGACATGGAAGCTTGGATGGTAGGAACCAAACTCAGGTCTTCTGTAATAGCAGTTCTGGCACATGTCTTAACCACTGCATCATCTCTTCAATCTGTATGCACATGTTTGAAAGAAGACACTCTCTGTGCTCAAGTAGGTTTGGGAAATACTACATTGAAGAGACTCATAATGCAGATCTCCTCAAAGCATTTCAGAGGATAATGTGCTGTGAGCCATGTGGTGATTTCAAAACTTATTTGGCCAAGTTACTCATTTTCATCAACAGATTATATTCCTAAAGCCAGTGTTCCATAGAAAATTATTTATGATGTAGTGTTCTAATAACAGCAGGGCACTTGACTTCTGTGCTACAGAGAAGGTATTGTACAATTGCACTGATTGAAAAAGTTCAAATTTGCCTCAGCACATTTCCATTAAATGATAGTTCTTTATATTTTTAGTCAAAGTAATGATAATAATGAAAATTTGTCCTAGAGCCAGAACAAATAATTTTTATGATACTGTATGATAATAGGACTTTTTATAAAGTAGATCATTGAAGATTAATCACTAATCTAAGATAGTCTAATTACATTTTGACCAGGTAGTTATTTAAATAGAATGTCAGTTACTTATGCATCATTGAAATATATTTTATGTAGCAACAGAATGGCAAGAGAAAAAGAGAAAGAAATGATGGAAGGAGGAAGGAAG